AAAACAAAAATCCTTGGATCTATACCGATAAGCAGCATCATGATAAATGGAGAAGAGATTGAAGTTGTCAAAGATTTCATTTTAACTTGAATCCACAGTCAGTGCCCATGGAAGCAGCAGTCAAGAAATCATATGATATATTGCACTGGGCAGATCTGCCACAGAAGACCTCTTCAAAGTGCTAAAGAGCAAAGATGTCACAGTGAACACTAAGGTGCCTTTGACCCAAGCCATAGTATTTTTGGTAGCCTCATATGCACGTGAGAGCTAGAAAATGAATATAAAGACTGCAGAAGTATTGATGCATTTGAGTTGTGGTTTTGGCAAAGAATATTGAATGTATCATGGAGTGCTAGAACAACAAACAAATCTGTCTTGGAGAAAGTATAGCCAGGCTCCTTAGAAGTGAGAATAGCCAGACTTCATCTCTCTTGCTTTGGTTATGCTGTCAGAAAGGACCAATCCCTGGAGAAGGATATTATGCTTGGTAAAATAGAGGGTCAGCGGGGTAGCAAAAAGGGGAAGAGCCTCAGTGAAATTGATTGACACAGTGGCTGTAGCCACAGGCTCAAGTGTGACAATTGTGGGGATGTCACAGGACTGGACAGTGTTTCATTCTCTTGTACATGCAGTCACTGTGAGTCAGAACCAATTTGACAGCACCTAACAATAAGTTTATACAACTAGCAGTTGTCCAAACCAAAGGTCAACCCATGTTATCTGAGTTGACAGCCAGTGTGTGTTCTTCAACACTATATAGATATCACTGAGATGTTGCTTAATTGAACTGATGACATTTGAAAGAGGAGGAAATCTGTTTAGTAAGGGATTTACTTAAGTAGGCACTCAGTGGTAACCTAGTGGAGAGCATCTGAAGGGAGAAAATAAGTAAATAAATAATAAAAGAGGACTAGAAGGGATATGATTGCTATAAGCCAGTAGTCTCTGGCATTTCAGAATTACCTGGTGGCCTTCTTAAAAGAAGATTCTATAAATCTGGGCAAAGTCCTAGGAATCTATTTTTTGTAACTGTTGTTTTTGTTTGTTTTAAAATCAGTAGTCCAAAGTGATTCATATATAACCATACAGTCACCTGAAATCCAGCTCATAGACCACCCAGATAGATAGGAGGTGCTGGTTTTTCAGTTCATATACAGATAATGGGGATGTTGTAACTATTGTGGCTGGACAAACCACTTACCTAATCACACATCAAGCATTCTTGCCTTGGTATTTGTTTTATCTCTCAGAGAGCAGAGGACTCAATGGGGAGAATTAGCTAGGGCTGTGTTTAAACCAATTAAAACAATTTGATTAGTGATATGGAAGTAATATGAACCTTGAGAAGTGACAGTGTTCTAATACTAATCGTAAAAACTAGAAAAGGAAGGTGGTGAGATAAATGCCCTAGAATTAGAAAAATTCAATGAAGCGCTAAGTATTACCCCATGGTTAGAGACGAAAAGAAAATACAATTATGATATATGAGATTCTAATTAATAATTTGGCAGTCCTAGCAATGGAGAGACATAAGTAGAATTCCATGTATTATTCATTTGTATCCCTGATTTTAAATAAACATGGACAGAAGATGAAAGAAAGGGCTACATGGTCATGGAGATACACCAAAAGGTGGCCTAAATCTTTAAGAATGGCCAAAACTTGAATAAGGTAAAATGGTCCAAAATGTTTAAATAATTTGGGAGCACTTAAACAAAATAAAACAGAGAAGGATTATAAAGAATGAAGGGATGTTTTCCTTGAAATACATGGTAGAGTGGTAATAGAAAGAAACAGTGTATTTTCATTTTCATTTAACTTACTCCTTTGTCCCCCCTACAAGGATAATGGTTTAAAACCAGAAAGGATAGGAAAATAGTAGTTCAACAAAAATGCAAAGATATTTAAGAAACACATAGCTCCTGTAAACAAACAGACATTGTGTGCCAGGATAATGACAAAACCCGTAGTTATGATTTCAGAATTGAGGAATACTGAGAAGTTATTAAAAACAAGTGGACAGAGCAACTGGGTACAGATGTACCCTGTGCAGCTTGTACAACTGCATTTGATACTCCTACATGACAGTACCATGACAGAAATGATTGGCAAGCAGACTTGTTGGTTTTAAGAACCAGAAAAAGTATATTTGAGGGATGGGATGATTGGCGGTTAAATTTGATGTACTCCTGAGAATTCTGAAATGAATTATTATTGTTGTTGTTGTTACGTGCCATCAAGTCGGACCCGACCTGACTCATTGTGACTCCTCCTTGGTTTTCTGAGGCAGTATCACTACGGAAGTAGATTGCCCAACCTTCCTTCCGAGGAGTGGCTGGTGCGTTTGAACTGCCAGTCTTCTGGTTAGCAGTCAAGTGCCTTATGCACTATGCTACTTAGCAAGAATTAATCAGCTTCTGACAGATTTTATAGAGTTGTGTAAACCCAGAGGGATGTATATAGAATGTTTAAAGTTATCTCTGGGAGGTGGGATTTAGGGATTTAAACATTTTTGCCTTATGCCTTTTATAATTTTTCTATAATGATAATGGGTTTGTTGTTGTCATTAGTTGCCGTCAATTCTATTCTGACTTATGGCAACCCTATGTGTGCAGAGTAGAACTGCTCTGTAGGGTTTTTAAGGCTGAAAGCAGATCATCAGGCCTTTCTCCCAGGGCTCCTATGGGTGGGTACTAACTGCCATACTTTTGGCTAGTAATTAAGCACTCATCCATTTGAGGCACCTCGGAACTCCATGAAAATGGATGATATATGTTAGAAAGGGATACAATATGTAACCAAAAATTTGCAATAGTAACTTTATAGATAGCACCAGCAAAGGAACACAGCTTAATTGTACCAAATTCACCTAATTTTTCTTTTGAATAAAGTTCAGAAAAATGATGAAAAGATGGTCATGTCTCCATGGGACATAGTTTTTCCAGTTAGCACTGAGGATAGAATACAGAGATGTAGGTAACCCAGAAGGTTACCAGGCTTGTGGTTCATGTTGGTACCTTTATGACTATTAATGAATGAATCAGTGATGGGGAAATAGCTGGAGGGTAATATCTAGTATCACAGATGTTGTCCTTGGTTCTGACCCATTTAACTGGTTTACCAACAACTTTGGATAAAGACATTCTATATTTGCCCATTGTGCAGATCTTGTGTGTGGAGTATTTTCTAGATGTCAGGATTAGAATTCTAAAGGCTGATGTGGATGGGTCAGATAAAACTTAGATGGTGAATAATAAAGATAAATATAAATTGCTGTACAAGTACAGAATTAGGGGAATTTATTTTAATAGATGTCCTTGGGGAAAAGGTGCAGGATTTTATTTTCAGTTGCTTATGAGTTGGCTGTGATATGACACTGTTAGATAAAGGTAATGTGGTCTTTGACTTCATTAACTGTGATAAAATGACAAATGGAAGAAAGTTAGTAGTCCCAGTGTAGTCTTTATTATCATACCTTAGCTTGGGTATTAAATCTAGTCAATATTAGGAGAATTAGTATATGAAGGGCTTTGAAACCGTGGTCAACATTGTAGCAATAGTCATTCTTAGATGCATTTTTTTTTATCTCATTTGGTATTTTCAGAATAGGGTGAGGAGTATTATCCCTGGATGAGGAAACTGAGGCTCTAAAAGTTTTATGATTTATCTGTACTCTAGTGTTTTACCATAAAAGTTTAGTGCTACTGTATTGCTTCTACTATTTTGAAAAAGAGAACAAATATTAACTTGTGTAGTGCTTTATTGGAGCTCTAGTAGCATAGTGCCTAAGGCACTTGACTGCTAACCCACCAGCCACTCCTTGGGAGGTAAGTTGGGCAATCTACCTCCTTAGTGATACTGCCTCAGAAACCCAAGGAGGGGTCACTATGAGTCGGGTCTGACTCAACAGCACATAACAGTGGTTTATTGTCTTTAAAATATTTTCACATAATTGATCATAGGGATCATCTTCCTACCATTGTGAATATCAGACTGAGGGCAAATTACAAATGGTTATCTTTGAGAGGACCCTTGAATTCCATGGTGGGTTGAACACAGTGACCTCTAAAAACAAAACAAAACAAAAACCAAACTCACTACCATTGAGTCGATTCTGACTCATAGCTACCTCCTTTGGGTTCCTGAGGCGGTAAATCTGTACAGAAGTAGATTGTGCAGTCTTCCTTCTGCAGAGTGGCTGATGAGTTTGAACCACCAGCCTTGTCAGATACCTTAGGCACTATGCCACAAGAGCTCCTTTAAGGTTTTAGAATTTGTAGATGTGTGTTTCTTGTTTTGAGGGCTTTAACCATCTATCTATTCAAGAATAGAAAATAGATACAGAAGGAGATAAAGAGAAGTTTGACAAAAATACATCTAAAACAACAGACTTTTAATTCTTGGATTGTTAACATTTCATGAGCTTTTAAAGATGTGTCCATGTTTTACCTTTTTTGTCTGTTGCTCCCAGGGATTCACATAGGACATGAATTAATACGATATGATTTATTACAGAAGATAAAGAGTTAGAGGGGGAGAAAAAGAACTTTAAAGTAGAGCTTTGGATCCATTGTTGGTTTTACTACTAAATAATTGTGAAACGTTGAATACTTTATCTCTTTTTGTCCTATCTGTAAAATTTGGAGATCTTGTAATCCCATATCCTTAGGGATTTTATAAGAGCCATGTGAAAGAAAATAAGTCTTTTATTAGAGCACTTGACAAATCTAGAATTGCCTGGGGTCAACTTTTATACACAAAGAACAGTTGCCATCAATTGTTTTATATTAAAAAACAAACAAAAACAAAAACCCGAATTAGAAAGAAGTGTATATGCTAATGTACTCATCATGCACTTGTATGTCTGTAAAACTTCTGGTATTACTTAAAATATTTTACCTGGTTCAGGATTTCTTTATTCCTTTGATCTTTAAGGATGTGTTAGCTGACATATTTCCATCTACTGTTCCCACTCCTTCATTGCCTTTTCTGTTTTGTAGAGCAAGGCTTAGATCACATAGCAGAAAACATTCTTTCCTACCTGGATGCCAGGTCTCTGTGTGCAGCAGAGCTGGTGTGTAAAGAATGGCAGCGAGTGATCTCAGAAGGAATGCTTTGGAAGAAGCTTATTGAACGAATGGTACGCACTGATCCTCTATGGAAGGGACTTTCAGAAAGAAGAGGGTGGTAAGTACTATGATCGCTTGTTCCCTTGAAAAATATTTCTTTGATGTAGCAGGTGAGATTGATTACTCAAAAACTCAGTTATACTTGCAGAATGCATTGTTGTATATTAAACTAGGGGGAAAACATGAATGTTCAAGAGTTGGGGGGGAAAAAGTAGAACTTAGAATTCCCTCCATTTTCCTTTCTAAAATGTATATATTTTTCATATTTAGTAACTGTTAGGAAGTAATGTGTAGTTTGAATAGGTGATTTGGCTCTTCAAAGCTATGTATTTATGCTTTTCCCTTTACATTTTTCTTAGATAGATAAAAGAAAACATGAGAAAATCAAATAATGCCATTTTACTATTTGTTGTTGCTTCTGCTTGAGAATGTGTAGGGCACTGTGGACAGTTGTTGTTTTTTTTTTTTTCCCCCAAAGAAGCAGCTTTATATATAGCAGTGCATATAACATGCATGGCACTGACTTTGTCCAGTTAACACCAAGGAGAAGAGAGCTACAGTCAAGTGGTGGTGGTGGTGTGAGTCAGAGTTAGGGCTGCCTTTTCTTTATTGGAGGCAGTTTCATGAGTACTGTTTAGATTTTGTCACAAAGGCACATTAGCTCTGTATACCACTTTTCATTAAACTCTGTAGAATGAAAAGCTAGATTAATTACATCTTGGATACACTAAGGAAAGGCCAGGATGATGTAAGAGATCTGTGAATTAAAGTAAATTTGCCTCTAACATGTAAATTTAGTTGTTAGAAACCCTGCTTTTGAACTGTTCAAGTCAAAAGAATGAAAGATATAGTATCTTTGTAAGCATCATATTTAAATAAAATTTACCCTTTCATGTGCAAAAATGTAATATCTGTTTGTTTTTATTTGCCAGGGATCAGTACCTGTTTAAAAACAGACCCACAGATGGCCCTCCCAATTCATTTTATAGGTCATTATATCCAAAGATTATCCAGGATATAGAGGTAACTTTATGAGTTATCTGTTTTACGGTTTTTTTGTGTCTTGTTCTCAGCTTTTTATGTTGCTGTATTCTTTTGTTCTAAAATCAGAGAGCTAGTAATTTTTTCTTTAAAATGTGAGGTCTTAGAACAAATGTGTCGCAACCAATGTATAATCAACAGTTGTTCTCCATAGTAGATAATGCCTTTTGGCAGAAAGCAAACTACCTTTCCTAAAAGATGAAATGTGTCGCAAGACTGCCAGTTAATCAAAACCTTAATGAAAATTCAGCTCTTTATTTTAATTTGGTAAGTTTTCCAAAATTAAGGCTCAGTTTACCAGGTAAGATGAACTCTAGAGCCATCTCTAGAGAACTAGAGAAGTCACAGTCTTAGTTCCCTTAGTAAATTACTTTTTTTTTTTTTTTTTTTTGTAAAAATGACTCTAACATGATTCTAAGCAATAGCTAAGTGGGTTTTATAGAGCAAATTATACTTCTGGACTATTTTGGCATTTGAGTGTAACTTCACCAGACCAGTAAAACTCTGTAAACTTGATGAGAAACATTGGAGATGTTTGATACTGTTCATGTGTTCTAATTAGTTCAGTTTTATTATTTAGCCCCTTTCCTTGAACCAGGAAAGACGTGCACAGGCATTTCTCATTAACTCTTTCACATGTGTTCTTGGCAGGTCTTGGTTACTTCACTATTTCCTCATTGGCAGAAAAGTTTAACCTTAGCTAGGCAATGCTGTATCACTCATAAAGTTACACTCAGTTTCCCAAATGTGAAGTAATCCTCTCCTCCAGGTGATAGACATAAAAGTTATTAATGCCAAAATTCGTTAATGGAGAAACATGTGCTCTTTTGGAGCCCCCACCCCCACCCCCCCACACTCCCTCCTTCCTTTCTTTCTTTTTTTAGGCAGATGTGAACTAATGGAATCATTCCATTAACAATAAATCTGAATGTGACTGGAATATCATTATTTAAAACCCTTGTCTTGGGTATTTTGTTCTCTGTAATGAGCTGTAAAGTAACCTTACAGGGAGGGTTAAATAATTTAAAACTTTTGCCTGACAAGTCATAAAGTTTAGGAATTAATTGACCCATTGACAGATAAAACTTTAATAAAATAAATTGTGCCTACAGTGTGAAGACCTGAGATATAATGCTAACTTTCATCTTATATTGGTGTGTGTATGTGTCTTTTAGGGGATAGTGGTTCTCTGGGCTGTCTCTTACCCCTATGTGGGGTATACCAAATGCATAAAGGCCTCAGGGACAATATCCTCTTCTGACCTCATGAAGGGGAGAGAAAATTGCCATCAACAGGATCAGACCAAGGCTTATTCCTGTGAGGCCAGACATACTGCCACCCTCCAACCTTTATACCAATTCTGACACCAACGGTCTGGTCTGTTACTACTTCTCTGCTGGGTTTGATAATTCTTTACAGTGACCACACAGAACTCACAGACAATACTCATGATAATGGGGTTTAATAGGAAGGTAACAGGTTACAGTTCAGGTCAGGATGCTTAGGATACAATTCTTCAGTCATAGTAGCCGCCTCTTGACAGTGCCTTCAGGCATAACTCTCTGTGGCCCTGGACTTCTTGGCCTGGCCTCTGCCCTGCTTGGGCAAGTGTTACAAAGCTCTTTCAGCTCTGCCGATACATGTACCTAGGTACACCCCACTCTGCCAGCAAGCTTCTTGCCCAAAAGTACTCAGATTTTTCAATCTGTGGGCTGGCAGCCCATGGTTCTGTCTGGTGCTGGTCTCTCAGTTCTGCTGCCACTGTCTCTCATGTCTGCCGGTTGTCTCTCCCAGGAGGTCCAGTCCAGGGATCTCATGTCCAAGGATGCACTCCACTCCACCTCCAGCTCTTCTCTTTTGACGACAGTGAGATCCTCCCTTTTGCCTACGGATGGGCTAATTTTTTTTTTTTTTTTTTTTTAACATTGTAATTTGGGTGAAAGTTTATAGAGCAAATTCACCTTCTATACAGCAGTTCACATACACTTTGTCTTATGACATTGACTACAGTTTACCACAATGCAACAGTTCCTTTCCCACTTCCTCCCCATAGTTACCCCCTCCCTGTGTCCTTCCCTCCATGCACTCCTGCCCCCTGAGCTATGTCCCTGTGCATACAAAGCCCTTCTATTCTCCCATGATTGCTCTCTCCAAGGAGTGTATCTCCCTAGTGTAAACGTTAACCTCATATGCCTGTCTTTTGTTTGGCTGGAAGCCACAGGTGTGGGTTCAATTCCAGACCTGAAGGGCAGCTAGGGGGCCATAGTCTCAGTAGTTCCATTAGGCTCTATCAGACCAGCAAACCTGGTCTCCTTTTTTTTTTTTTTCTTCAAATGATTTTGAGTTTTGTTCCACATAGTTCTCCCACTCTATCCAGGATCCTCCTACATGGATCCCCCTCCGAGTGGTTGACAGTGGTAGCCAGGCACCATCTAGTTCTTCTGGTCTCACAGTCCTATAGGCTAAGGATCTCACGGTGTACCAGTCACTTGGACTAATTGTTTCTATGCGTCTTTGGTTTTTCTTCATTCTTCTTTGCCCTGGAGGAGAGACCTATTGTTGCGTCTAGATAGCTGCCTGCAAGCTTTTAAGATCCCAGTCACTACTCGCCAGAGTAGGAGGTGGAACAATGTTTTGTGTAGTATGTTATGCTAGTTGAGCTTGATGCACCTTGTGACTATGGTCCTGAGCCAACAGGTCCAGCTTCTCACTCCCTTTGGGAAGCTGGCTGTGGCCAAGAAGTGACTACAGCCTTGTCCTTTGTCAGCTCTACTATACACCTGGAAATTCTTACAGAACATAGCAATACACTTGTAGAAACATTGTCTGCCTATCCTATATACATGGTCTTAGGCACACTCCCCCCAGCATAGACGAACCTAATAGTTCAGCCTGTCCACCCATCTATCCACCCATATATCCATGTTTGCCTTCACTGACGGTGCAGTACTGTATATGCAGAAGGGTTCATCTTTGTTGTCTGTACCTCCCATGTACCTCTCTATGACTACTCATGTCTTCCTCAATGTCATTGTGTTGATCACTCACATTTGGAACATTGTCCTTCTCTTTATCAATATCAATACTTGTCTACCTATCTA